CCTGGGTGGCAGACCATGTGAGAGGCAACCACATATTGATGTTTCTCTCCCTCTCTTTCTCCATCCCTTCCCCTCTAAATATAAATCAATAGAATTTATAATTAATTAATTAGGCAGGGAATGGGTCAATATATTTTTAGTACTTTTTGCTGTCCTTCCTTTTGTTCATTCTACTCTTTGATGATTTTCAAACCAAGTAGGGGAACAGCCTCACAATCTCATCCCTGCCCAGGTTGGGGCATCCTGGTTCACAGTCATTTCTGTAGCTCTTCAACCTTCTTATTGTTTTGGCCTTTATGTGATCTTTCTGCAAGGTGTTGCTTCAGTCAAATAGCAAACTACCCACAACTTCGAGTTTCACCTCATTTTAGAGGATTTTGTAGATTTGCTCATCTTCAGGAAAAATTAATGTGTTGTATACGTCTTTAACCAAGCTGTGCTTCATCCTGTGATTCCAGTCTATTTATTCCATTATGTTTCTCTCACCTTTTCCAATCAAACCCTTATCTCAAATATAAAAAGATCTGGGGTCTCTTTTATTTAATAACATGAAGGAAATTCCTGAAGATTTATGAGTTTTCATTTAGTCACATATAAACATTTTTTCACACTATACTAATTTGAAGGAATACCAAGAGATAAGAATTGATGTTTTATTTTGAGTATCTTGGTTACTTGAGAATCAATTACACTTAAGTATAATCTTCATAGGACCAGATTAAAATGTTCTCAAAACAAAACTGTAAGAAATTAGAGAAATTGTTCCTTTGAACGAAGTATGAAACTAAATAGCTGCCTGTGAATATGGTACTGTGAGCTCTGAAAATGTCCCATTTGGGACTAAAATATTTATCCTGCCACCATTTTCCTGAACCAGAAATACAGGGAATGTTTGGTGCAATGTAACATTTTGTCTTCAATGGAAATGCTGCACATACTTATGAGTTTATTATGTCCTTTTCTCATTAGTCCATATGATTAGGAGTAATACTTTCTGGTGCCAAATTGATGATAACTATAAACCCAGGTACTGAAATGGCATGACATTACTCAATAATGAGATTATGAAGTTGAAGTGGAGTTGGTGGGGGCTGTGAGTTATATACAGTTATATACATGGATTACGTTGTCTTCCATATGGAAAAACACATTTTAAAATATTCTCCTGTGAAAGACCAAATTTGAGAAGTGCCAGGCCTCACTTTTCATACCAGATTCTTCTCCAAAGACCTGAATTTTGACTTTCAAGATAATATAGAACCAAACAACAAAAACAAACCTTCTTTCCTGTTACCGAAATAAACATAAGAGCCAAGGACAAGTATCTGCCTGCAAATGTTCATACACCCAACAGTAATGCTCAAAAAATAAGAAAGATAAAGCTCCTTCTCTTTCAATTGGACAAGATTTCCACTTTCCTTTCTTCCTTTCTCTCTTCATCATGCATTGTTCTCTGTCCTCCCTTCTTTGCTAACTTTCACTTATTTCTGCTGCCAAACTCTCTACTGCCTCTTCCTCTCTTTTGTGAGGAGCAGTGGAAACACCCCAAAGAGCCACTGACTCACTGACAGTGCTGTCTTGTCCAAATATCACACCCCTCCCTCTCTCACTACACAGAGAATTAATTTTGAGAGGTTTTCCAGAGACAGTGTAGGTTTTCGCTGATGTTTCTAGCTTTTATCGCAGTTAGAGTGTTCATCAGTGTAGACACCCCCAGTGAAGGAGGCTCAGGCACAGATCCCCAGAGGAATAAGTTCTCAGAACATCTTCTCTAATCATCAGCTTGTCAAGATGGCAACCTTAACTCTGTAAGTGTCCAGGCCCTAGGGATTAGCTCTGATGACCGCATTCATAAGGACAAGAATGAAATGTAGGGAAAAAATTGGTGCATATACACACATGCGTGCACATACACTTATTCTGTCATGTGTCAGTTCTTTTCCTTCCAAAACAATGTGTATAGAAGCTAAATTACCTAATGAGTATGACAAAATGTTGGTACAATTCAAGCAAGGGTCATCCTAGGTTGTTCAAAATTATTATGGACTTTAAATAATAACCATATTCTAATGCAATCTTCTCAGATTCTTGTTTATTTTCCCAAAAGAATATTTTACCTTTCCTGCCAATGAAACAAAACTAAGATATTAAGGAAATATACATTGGAGGCCCCATATCGTATTTATTAACTGAAGTCATACTTTGTTACACCATAACACTTTCATGGCATTTTTCACTTCTGCATTTCTCAATGTATAGATCAGAGGGTTGAGCAAGGATATCCCAATTGTATTAAAAAGAGCCACCATCTTGTCTACTGGAAACATGGTTGGTGGGCAAGTATATATGAACCAAATACACATGAACCAAAAAATATGGCAACCACGATAAAGTTGGATGTGCATGTGGAAAGGGCTTTTCACCTTCCTTCTATGCTATGGTTTCTCAGAGACTACAAGATGACAACATAGGAGATAAGCAGGATTATAAAACTAACCATGCAAATGGTCCCACTATTAGAGACAAACAGAAAATTTATCACATATGTGTCCATGCAGGCAAGTTTCATCAAGGGCTGCAAGTCACAAAAATAGGGGTCAATCACATTGGGGCCACAAAAGGGCAATTGCAAAGCTAGAAAAATCTGTGTTGAAGAGTGGATACAAGATTCCACCCAGGCCAGAATCATCAACATGCCACAGACTCCCTGGCTCATGATGCTTGGGTATTGCAAGCACTTACAAATGGCGATGTAGCAATGAAAGGCTATGAGGATGAGCACAAAGACCTTGATGTACCCAAAGAAGTGAACTGTGAAGACTTGAGTCATGTATTCAATATAGGAAATGGTCTTCTTCTAAGAAAGGGCATTCACAATCAATCTGGAGGCTGTGGCTGTAGAGAGACAGACATCAGCCAATGACAGGTAGAACAGAAAGAGGTACATGGTATTACCAAGGGTCTTGTTGTTTTAGTAGTGACTACAATGAGAAAGTTACCTTACAGTGTTGTAAAGTGAAGAATTGAGAAGACCATAAATATTGCTTTGGTCAATAACAGATATCAAACATAGAGATGATCTCCCTAAAAATTGCTGTCATTAATCAAAAAGTTGTAAGAGATAAAATTATGGAAAGATGTTGGACAACCATGAAAGCCAAGTCATATAATTCTACTTTGTTATATTTTCAATAAGCAAAGAGAAGTTTTCAGGACATAAGACATGAACTTAGCTCCTGACAAGATGTGCGCATCACATCAGACCAACACATTCAGGGGTTTTATCACTGAACTGTTTCATGTTTCCTAACACTCTTGCACTTTCCTAAATCCCTGATCTGGGGGTACATCACAGTAGTGGAGAATTTAATTTTCCCTTCTTTAATTCTTACTTTTACCTGTTGAAATTTTAAACCAGTTCAAATATATTTGATAATGCAAGTCTTCCTTTTTCTCCCAGACAAATGCCTCTCTCACCTATTTGCCTATATTACTGTGTGTTATTTTAACTGACTAACACAATCATAGATTATATATTATTCTTATTGTATAATCTTATTACTCAAACAATTTTCACTATCATTATTTCATTTTACCTGTACATTCTTTTACAAGGTAAGTGTTCCCATTTACCAGGTCCTTTCAATGTGAAAACTTTGACCTGAGATACAGAAACATTTTCCACTTAGAGGTAAAATCATGTGGTATTTCTCTTTCACTGCCTGGCTTATTTTACTTAGCATAATGCTCTCCAGTTCCATCCATGCTGTCACAAAAAGTAAGACTCCTTCTTTCCTTCTGCTGCATAGTATTCTATCATGTAAATGTATCATAGTTTTTTAATCCATTCATATACTGGGGAACCTAACCAACAAAAGAAAAAAAGCAAGCAAAATATAACCAGAGTCATTAATTAAGAACAAACTGACGGTAATGACAGGGATGGTAGGAATGGATAATTGGGGGAAAAGAAGAACGGGTTATCAGGAACATACAAAGGACACACGGACAAAACCAAAAAAAAATGTATGATCGAGGGTGGGTAGTGGGGATGGCTGGGGTTAGGGAAAGTGGGGATGGAATGAAGACAACTGTACTTGAACAACAATAAGAATATAAATAATACAGGAAGGAAGGAAGGAACGAGGAACGAAGGAACGAAGGAAGTTTTTCCAAGTACAGTTAGGTGAAAATTAGAGTGGGGTCCTACTAGATAACCTCTCTCTCTAGCATTCACTATCCATGTCACATAGAACTTCAAACCCATTTCATGTATATTTCATATAGATTTTCTAGAATTATGTAGATCCTAGAAAAGAGAAATCCTGAGAAAACCATCCAAGAAAGACACAAATTGATACCTTAATTTTCTGCTCTAACTCCAGAATCAAGTCATGTATGCTGCATGGTGAAAAAAAATATCAAAGTAGAAAATAGATACCTAAATGAATAAGAGTGTAGAAGAGGCAAGAGTAGAGAATGAGTGAAATGAGTACAGGAGAGAAGAGTTGAGAGTGACCTCACACAAGTAAAGAATAGTCAGAGGGTAGCATGCAGAAAAATAGAGAAGGGAGGGAGCAAAAAAAAACACTAGGGGGGATAGTTTGATGAAAGATTTCATTACAGAATTCACCTTCTGTCTACATGACCTACTGCAATATCACTACCCCAAAACCAGAAAAAGGGTACACTTATGGGTCATGGGCAAGGGTACCCAAGGGTCTTGAAAACCCAGGTGTGGAGAAAGAACAACCCTATCCTACTCTCATCCTAAATATCTTCCAGTGAGCAGTAGCATAAGACAGAAACTTCTGCCACCTGGCCTCAATGCAATCTATCATTTATTGGCCTTTTGGGGAGCACAGATGCTTTTGCGAGTGCTTCAGCCAAGGAAGACTTAGGGACCCTTGACCACTTTAACTCTTTGTTGCAGGAACTCCATTCAACAGCTCCATCATCTCTTAGAATACACACTGAGTGTAGATTCCATCAAATCAGTCTCATCTTTCATTACAAACTACCATTATTCTACTCCACACATTCCTCATGGCATTTTTCACTTCCTTATTCCTGATGGTGTAAATCAAAGGATTGAACAAGGGGGTTAGGATGGTGTAAAATATTGTCACCATTTTGTCAAAAGAGAAAGTGGATGGAGGTCGGGCATATGTGACTATGCAGGGGACAAAGAACAAAACCACAACAGCAATGTGAGATCCACAAGTGGAGAGAGCTTTCCACTGCCCTTCAATACTGTGGGTTCTCAGAGACCACAAGATGATGCCATAAGAGACAAGCAACAAAGAGAAGATTATGATGCACATAAACCCACTGTTGGCCACCACAAAAAGGCCAAAAACATGAGTGTCAGTGCAGGCCAGCTCTAGTAGCAGGTATAAGTCACATATGAAATGATCGATGACATTGGGACCACAGAAGGGCAGCTGTAAAGCAAAGACAATTTGTATCATGGAATGCAGGAAGCCCCCTGTCCAGGCCACTCCCATCAGAATGCCACAGAGCCTCCAGTTCATGATAGAAGAGTAATGCAAGGGCTTGCAGATGGCCACATAGCGGTCATAGGCCATGACTGTGAGGACAATCACCTCCACTCCAGCAAAGAAGTGTCCAGCAAAGAGCTGGGTCATGCAGCCCTCAAAGGATATGGTTTTCCTCTCATACAGAGAGTCTACAATCATTTTTGGGGCAGTGACAGTGGAGAAGCAGGCATCCAGGAGGGACAAGAAAGCCAAGAAGAAGTACATGGGGGAGCCCAGGAGTGCTGGGCTACTGCTGATGGTCACCACAATTAGCAAGTTGCCCCCGAGAGTTGCCATGTAGCTCAACAATAATATAACAAATATTATTTTCTGAACATTTGGATTCTTTGAAAGCCCCAAGAGGATGAACTCACTTACAAAGCTTTGGTTTTGCATGATTTCCAAGGAACAGCTAAATTCCACCAGAGTAAGTATATAAAATCTGCAATTATGAGAAAAAGAAAAATTCACCTGAGACCAGTTTGTGATACCATTGTATCATAGTCATCGACCAGTTGGTGCATCCATGTGAAAAGATGGTTACATTCTTCTGTTGTAAAGGAGAACAGAAAATTAGAAATGTGTTGAAGGCTGTAGTGGGAGGTCAGGCAGAAGTCAGAAGGAAATAAATCTTTCAATACTTTAAAGTGGCCACAGATTATATGTAGGAGAAATATTCATACACAGTTGGGAAGAGATATAGGTTTATCTCCACTGCCAAAGCAGATTGCTTTTCCTGGAGTGAATTGTTGAGGGGGATTCTGAAGTCACATCCACACTGAGCCAGAGAACTTGTACTTCAGTGGTCATTGCTGCCATTTGTATGGAATGCAAATGTAGTGACTCACATGCCATCACTGACCATGAGATGACCTTATCTACAGAGAGAAGAAGAAATAACCCCTAGTTAAAGAGTCATTGAAAAGCATTGCTACTTATCCATTTTTTTTCAACTCTGAGCTGAATTGGGCCTTTAAGATGAATACAGAAAGCAGACTAACAGCTATCAGAGGGTAGGTAGGTTAGAGGATGGTTGAAAAGGTAAAAAAATTAAGAAAAACAACTCATGAGCACAGACAATAGTGTGGTGATTACCAGAGGGAAGGAGAGGTGGGCGCAGGGATATGTAGAAGAGGTTAAAGGGTGAATTAATGGTGATACAAGGAGGCTTCACTTTGGATGGTGAACACACAATACAATACACAGGTGATGTATTACAAAATTGTACACTTGATGTCTATATAATTTTATCAATCATTGTCACTCTAATAAGTTCATTACAAAAAACAAAACAATAAAAGATGAATTAATTCATTCCCTATAAAAGAAGAAAGCTCTATGGAAAAGTGCCTAGCTCTACACTAACATGTAACAAGTATGCACATGCTGAGTTGGGTTCTTATTTCATTCATCATTTAAAATAAGAATGGGTGTTTATGAAAAACAATAATACCTACCTTAAGGGTATTGTCAGCATGACCAACTGAACTAATGTAAAGAAAGGAGCTGTTGAAGAAATAGTCCTCGGAAACAGTCCATGTTATGTCTTATTATCCCTATTTTCCTGGAAGACAATCCATGCTGAAATAAAACATCAAGTAACATTCTGGGTCTGGAATTTAAACACAGACTCCCAGCTACAACACTTAAGTATTCCTAATGGATCAAGAAAAAAAGGAGGGGAGATGGCCCTTGTACAATCTTCATACACCTATGGAAATCAAAGTCTTCTGAGTCCTTTGCTCATGCTTGAAGGAGGCCCCTTGATGACACAGAGCAAGTGATGTAGATTCAGAAAGTAATAGTGCAATTACTACACATACATTTGGCAGCAACCATATAGGTAAGGGATAGAAACAACATGTTGAGTATAGCTAGAGTCTTGAGACTTTTTTACATATTTACTAATTATTTGTACTATGTGGCTCAATCTGATATTGTACAACTTGTCATTTATATGACTTTATTGCAAACTAAGTATGTTCATATATAACCTATGTGCTCATCTCACAGGATTATGGGGAGTGTCAAATTGGCAAAATGTAAAACTTGCTTATGATAAGTACCCTTGCCAATTGTAGAAACTATTCCCTCACTTAGTAAGACAGTCACTTTACCCATGAGTTATCCAGATAAGTACTTCAACTATTGACTATTGTCCATAGCTACACATCACTTTTTGAGAATGGTTGTGTCCTCACCTGTACATATAACAGAAACTGATTTCTCAACTATGTGTTTACATATACATATATTTGTTTATTAAATTGGTAAAGTAATGAGTCTTGAGACTCATTAATGAGACTGTGAGAATTAAAAATAACCTGATCATTGTGAAAACCATTCAAAGCCAATAAAAAGCAATTTACAATAAAGATATGACTGTTTACAGTAATATACATCTTTAAGCTTACTTTAAAATAACCATTTCCATTACATTCCCAAGGTACTAGACATTCTTATGCAAAGCTGCACTGTGAACACCATATTTAGCTACAAATTGTCACCAGAAAATAAGAGTATAAAGCAAATACTATAAGGTTATTGGATTGGTCAACAACCATTTGTTAAAAAATAAAAGATACCATGGAAAGCAGTATGGAATTTTCTAAGAAAACTAAAAGGGGCTCGGAGTTTTGACCCAGAAATTCCACTGCTAGGATTATATTCTAAGAACCCTGAAACACCACTCCAAAATAACCAAGGCACCCTATGTTCATAGCAGCACAATTTACAATAGCCAAGTGCTGAAAGCAACCTAAATGCCCATTAGTAAATGAATGGATCCAAAAACTATGGTACCTTTACACAATGGAATTCTATGCAGCAGAAAGAAAAAAGGAACTCCTACCCTTTGCAACAGCATGGATGGAAGTGGAAAGCATTATGCTAAGCAGAATAAGCCAGGTGGTTAAAGACAAATACCATATTATCTCACCTTTAACAGGAACCTAAACAACAAAACAAACAAAAAGCAAAATATTACCAAAGACACTGAAATAAAGAACAGCCTGACAGTGACCAGAGGGGAGAGGGGATGGAATTTCAGGGAATTTTCAGGGGAAAGGGGGGAGAGTTTACAGGAAGAAATATAAAGGACACATGGACAAAACTAGAAGGGGTGGAAATGAGAGGTAGGTAGGGATGGCTGGGATGAAAGTAAAAGACAGAAAACTATACTCAAACAACAATGAAAATAAAATTTTTAAAAAAGATACCTATCTATGATCCAGCAGTTATCAGCTTGTCAGCAATAAACATAGTGGGCATATGTTCTTTCAAATTAGTGTTTTGGGTGTTTTCACATAAATTCCCAGAAGTAGAATCATTGAGTCATAAAGCAGTTCCATTGCTAATTTTTTGAGGCAACTCCATAATGTTTTCCACAGTGGCTGCACCAATCTGCATTCCCAACAACAGTGCACCAGGGTTCCTTTTTCTCCACATCCTCACCCTCACTAAAGGTACATTTACACAATGGAATACTGCTGGGATGTAAAAGAAAAGAAAAGCTTACCCTTTGCAACAGTATGGATGGACCTGAAGAGCATTGTTCTGAGTAAAGTAAGCCAGCCAGAGAAAGACAAATACCATATGATCTCACAAGTGTGGAATCTAATGAACAAAATGAACAGACAAACAAAATAGAACCAGACTCATACATAGAGAGAAAAGGCTGACAACTGTTGAGGGTGAGGGCTGCTAGGAGGGACAAGTAAGGAGACTGAGCAAACAAGAAAAAGAAAAGACAGAACCCTCATGGCCTCAGAAAACAATATGGTAATTGTCAGGGAGAGGGAAAGTGAGGAGTGTGGTGGAGGAGGGTATGGGGGGATAAATGGCAACAGACAGAAACTAGACTTGGGGAGGTGAACACACAATACAATGTACACATAATGTGTTGTTGAATTGTGCACTTGAAAGTTGTATAATTTTGTTAGCCAGTGTCACCCCAATCAATTCAATAGAGAGGGGAAACTATATTAATTCTAAAACTGCAGTCAAACTACTTGATTTCATGTAATCCTTTCAGAAATGTTTTAACAAATATTTTCAGGATTATAAACATGTTTCTATTCCCTTTTTTAGAACTCAATCCTAAAAAATATTCTAGAGGTGAAATGTGGTAGTGTAAGTTCTTTCATGGAAGATGACGCATGTTTTTCATAACAGTAAAACTTTAGAAATATATAAAGTGTTCTATAATAGGAAGATGTTTATGCAAATCAGATTACTACAAGCTAAGATGCTGTGAATACTAAATAATAGGAGGACATGGGTTGTGAGACATGTTTACAATATGTTAAGTGAGAAAATAAACACTTGTAATAATTCTGCTTCTTTGCACAGAGATTCTAATATAATTTTATGTTCTAGAACAGAACATATGATAGACTTACTTTCAGTACATAGAGTTAACATTAAGGATCAAGCTTAAGCCCTGACTGGTGTAGCTCTGTGAGTTGAGCGTCATTCTGCAAACCAAAAAGAATCAAGTTAAAAACCCACAACACTATATTATCCTCTACCTGAACAGTTAAAAACAAAGGAGATGAGTTTTGAGTATAATTTTATTATCTCCAGTATAGTTAATTTGCATAAGTGAACAAATATGCTAATATACATAGAATCTTACACTAAAAATCATAAACTAATGTAAATCTCCTATGAACAGCCATATCATTGGCCCAGCCCTTCCCAGTCTCTATACTCACTTTAAAATCAATTTGAAGTTCATGCACTCCTGTAGGAAGCAGCTGATTTGTTCATATTTTTCCTAGAAGATTCCAAGATCTTTCCTTTCTTCATAGCCATGTATTTTAATACACTGGAGCTGCACCAGATTGTGCAGGGCCCCTCCCAGCCATGGGCTCTGGGCTTTAGGCAACCTCGTGGGGCTGTGTTCTAGGGAATTTGGCCTCCCCACTCCCCAGTGCCCACTGTTTCTTTCTCATTTATTTCCACAGCAAACTGATGCTACCATCAGTTGTTCCAAAAGCAATAGAAATTCCTGTTTCAACTTCTAAATATTCGAAACTATATGAAAAACTAGAAGTAAGGTTATCATAAGTAGTAATTTGTAATTATATTTCAAGCAGTTGATTTTAGGTGCATTTAACACATACCTATATGTCATATCAGTCACATTTGCATATATTTTTTAGTAAATATAATTATTAAAAATAAAAAAAATTAAAACCTCATTCAAACTACTCTCCTAGTTAAGTTCCCTAAATCCAGTGTATTCTTTACTTTAGCAATAAAAGATTTATTTTCTATCTGGCTATTCACGTTCCTTTCTGACTATCTAGGAAATGTTCTCTTCAGATTTCAGAGCCCTTCCTCTCCTCTCCATAATCCTCTGCTGATGTCCCTAAATGTCTCAACTTGTACACCCGTACTCTTTCTGGAATTGAAAAAAATCACCTTTCTTTATGTCCACCTATGTCCTTCCTGATGGATGTCTGAACCTGCTTTTTTTTTTATTG